CCTCTTCCCACGAGCTCCACCTTCACGATGGGGTCCACCAGTGTGCTGTTCAGAGTTAGAACCACCTGCCCTTTTATGCTGGAGCCGGCCAGGTAGACCGCATCCTTGGGCAGCACTAATTCAATGGACTTCACCAAAGACATAGGGGGTTGGGGTGATGGAGAAACATCCTCCCCACCTCCCCTGTGTCACTGAGATCCCTGGTTCCTTGGCCACAGTGACATCATCCGTCTGTGACATCATCCAGCCAGGGTTCCGGGAAGGGGTTCCCAATGGCCAGGATGAGAGGCAAGGCTGTTGGCAGTGGGCAGCCACTTGGGAATCCCAAAGTCCTCACTGGTTGGTGAAATGGTAGCCTGACCTCTTTTTCCTAGGAAATAACGAACAAATGAACAAGAAAACCACAAGATCCCAACATTGCTGGCGACTAGGGAACAACTGTCATCCTGCCAGAGGTCTAGGGGCCTGGGTGGGAAGAATTCTTCCAGGCCCTGTGGTGAGGCAGGCGTCATGAGCTCTATTTACAGTTGGAGAGGCACAGGGCATGAGCCCAGGGGTATTTTCTGCCCCATCCGATGGCCCCCAAATGTGGGTGTGTGCACCCCCTTCTCAGGGTTCACAGATTGATGCCGGGTCCTACACAGATAATCGTTTTCACCTTTTGTTTGTTTGTTTTGGCCACACCATGAAGCTTGTGGGATCTTAGCTCCCAGAGCAGGGATTGAACCCGTGCCCTCAGCAGTGAAATCTCGGAGTCTTAACCACTGGACTGCCAGGGAATTCCCAGTCATTTCCACCTTAATAGCTCTATATTTATATCAGTGTGTGTTAGAAGGAAAATGATAGCCATGGCCAGGACATGGAATCTGCTGTGTCTTGAAGATGCTCAGAGCACGGTGGGCTCCATGTGAACGCGGATACCACCACGAAGCACTCTCTCTCTGCACAGCTGACACTTGTCTTTATGCCAGCATCTCCTCCATTGGTTGGGAAGTCCCTCTAGGGCAGGACTTTGTTTGCCGAACCCAAAGCCTGGTTCAGGCAAGGGAGGACAATTAAAGTTTGTTGAATGACTTAATGACTGTCGAGAGCATATTGTTCTGCAAAAGGGAAACTGGGGCCCTTGGCACCCTAGCAGTTATTCGTGGTGCCCAATTCGCGCGTGGGCCGACGCCTAAGCGGGGGGAGGTTCTGAAGCAGAAGAGGCTCTACAAAGTATCTGTTCTCCAGGCTCTGGCAGGCCTCATTTACTCTTTGTCATATCTTGCTTTATTGGATGTGATGTCTTTTGTGGACATCGATGTCTTGTCTTCCTAACTGGTTACTAAGCTTCTTTTGGAGATGCTTGGCATAGTCTCTTGCTCATAGTTAATTAACCCAAGCAACCCCTCTGACTTTCTCGAAATGACTAGAGAAATGGGGCCCTGCATCCCCACCACTCCAGTTCTTTTCTTCAGGGAAAGCCAGACACCTCTTTCTGTGTCACTTAACCTCATCCAAGGAGGCTGGGCGGTGCCCTGCACCAAATGTACATGAAGAATATACGGTCTATTTCTTCTTTTGGCCACGTTGAGTTTTAGCAACAGCAGGCACAAACGGATGCCATGCTCTCGCCAGGAGCAGGCTGGGTTCCTGGGGCAGCTGTTGTCAATGTGGAAGATTTCATCTGCCTCACAAGCTCCGGGAGGCCTGCCTACCTGTTCTGTGACGTGGTCTCCACGTGGCTGATGGCTGAGCATCCAGAAATGCAATCAGTTGCATTGAGGAAGTCCTGAAGGTGGAGAAAATTAACAGGAGCACCTGGACTTCGTGTATTGGAGTGTATTAGTTTCCTCTGGCTGCTATAACAAATGTCCACAAAGTCTGTGCTTTAAAACAACACAAATTAATTCTCTTACAGTTCTGGAGGTCAGAAGTCTGAAATGGAGCTAAAATCAAGGTGTTGGCAGGATTACGTTCTAGGGTTCTAGGAAGGAATCTGTCCCTTGCCTTTTCCAGCTTCTAGAGGCTTCTTACATTCCTTGCCTTTAACAAGCACTCCATCCTCTCTTTCCACCATTATGTCTCTGACTCGACCCTCCTGCCCTTTGTCATTTATTAGGACCCTTGTGATGACGTTGGGCCAGCCCAGATAACCTAGGTTAATCTCCCCATCTGACGATCTTTAATTTAATCCCCTCTGCAAAGTCCCTTTTGCCATGGAAGGTTCTATATTCACAGGCTCCAGGGATTAAGATGTGGACATCTTTGGGGGGCCATTAATCTGTCTACCGCCAGGGGAAACAAAAGCAGAAGTACCAGCGCCAAGACAGAAGGAACTCTACATGTGGCGAGAGAAACCTTGTAAAAACATAAATTGGAGCTCATCGCTTTTCTGCTCACAGCCCTCCCATGGTACCCACTGCTCTCAGGAGAAAGACCTGGTGGCCTGCGAGGTCTTATAGACACCCCTCTGACCTCCTCAGCTCCCGCCGGTCCTCCCCTTTGCTGTGTCTGCCCTGCTCTCCGTCCATCGCTACGCCTTTTCTGGCCTCTGAGTTTGCTCTTCCCGCCTTGACCCATCTGTCCTTGGTTTCTCATCTCAGATCTCAGCTCAAATGTCATCTGCTCAGAGAGGCCCACCTCTCCACCTTAACCAGAGTACCCTCTCTCCCCACCCCCCATACGGCCGCTGGTCACTCTCCAGCTCTTGTCTTGTCTTCATTGCATGTGTGGTATCTGAAATGATTTGCTTTATTTATTCATTTCTTGCTGGTCTCCCCAGATAAGAATGTAACGTCCCGGGAGACCACCAACAGGGTCGACCTTGCCCACTCTTGCGCTCCCAGCTCTGATCACCCTGTTCAGGCACTTTGTAGGTGTCTAGCATGGGTCACTGTATGCCCGCCAAGACTGGCCAGAGCAGAGCAGGCAGGGCGGAGGGGGGAGGGCAGCTCTGCCCGCCTGGACAGCCCGGAGAAGGCGGGAAAACGAGGCGGGAAAAACCAGCAAACAAGCCCTGCGGGTGGGTAGGGTGGGGAGCGCTGGCGAGCCCTGACGCTAGGAAATCAGGCTGGGGCGATGAGGCCCGTCATCGGGTGCAGGCGGTCTCCTGGGGGGGTCCCCCCAAATTCGCCGGCAGAATTTAGACATTGATTCCCGCCTTCCTGCCCTACTGGTCAGTGCATGCCTGGGGAGAGGGGCTGAAGCAACGGACTTAGGAGGTCGGGGGTCTCTACGCTGGGGGCCCCTGCCCCCGGGGGGATCCCTAGGGCTCCTGAAGGGCACCCATGGTGGGGGGGGACTCAGGTCCCGCCACCCGACCCCATTACACGCTGGGCGCGCCCAGCAGAGCGCGCAGGGCTGGGCGGGGCCGTGGCCCGCTGGGCGGAGGGGGGGTGGACAGAGGCGGGGGCGCCCCCC